GGGCGTGAGTTCCGACAGCTCAGCGTCACGGGAAAAGCTGCAGCCTCTGGTTCTCAAGGCTGGGAGCCGGCGCGTGGCAGCGGGGCTCCACTCGCATCCAAAGAGTTTGTGGAAGTGGTGTCAAACGTGCCGTATCTGCTCCTTCCTGTCGCGGCCCCGCAGCTGCACGGCGTGTCTCCAGTCCCACCCGAGACAGCAAGGCTTCCATTTGCGGACAGGATCGTGCCCATTCTACTGCAAAGCAGACCCCTGCGAAGATGCTTTGGGGCCAGAATTGAAGAGCACCTGGACTTTTAAACTGCAGAGGGAGTTCCCAACACACTGCGGTGAAAGGACGACAGTCACACCCGAGCGCACAGACTACGTGGAAGCCTGGAGTGATTCACAGACCAGTCCCCTGCCTGGCTGGGAAGAAGTCATAGAATCCTAGAATACTAGGACCGGAAGGGACTTCGAGAGGTCATTGAGTCCAATCCCCTGCCCTCATGACAGGACCAAGTACTGTCTAGACCATACCTGATAGACATTTATCTAACCTACTCTTCAATATCTCCAGAGATGGAGATTCCATAACCTCCTCGGGCAATTTATTCCAGTGTTTGACCACTCTGACAGTTAGGAACTTTTTCCTAATATCCAACCTAAACCTCCCTTGCTGCAGTTTCAGTTTAAGCCCATTGCCTCTTGTTCTATCCCCAGAGGCCAAGATGAACAAGTTTTCTCTCCTTATGACACCCTTTTAGATACCTGAAAACTGCTCTCATGTCCCCTCTCAATCTTCTCTTTTCCAAACTAAACAAACCCAATTCTTTCAGCCTCCTTCATAGCTCATGTTCTCTGGACCTTTCATCATTCTTGTTGCTCTTCTCCGGACCCTCTCCAATTTCTCCACATCCTTCTTGAAATGTGGTGCCCAGAACTGGACACAATACTCCAACTGAGGCCTAACCAGCGCAGAGTAGAGTGGAAGAATGACTTCTCGTGTCTTGCTCACAACACACCTGTTAATGCATCCCAGAGTCATGTTTGCTTTTTTTGCAACAGCATCATACTGCTGACTCATATTCAGCTTGTGGTCCACTATAACCCCTAGATCCCTTTCTGCCGGACTCCTTCCTAGACAGTCACTTCCCATTGTGTATGTGTGAAACTGATTGTTCCTTCCTAAGTGGAGCACTTTGCATTTGTCTTTATTAAACTTCATCCTGTTTACCTCAGACCAGGATCCGCGTTTGCCTGCAGGCCTGCTGGCACCGGCAGTCACCGTGGGTGGGTCTGTTGTTGGCTTGGGATTTTCAACAGGCAGCATGCTGTGAGCCATGCTGCTGGACCCGTGCTCAGAAGCTAGTTTCTGTCTCTTCTTCAGGACTGTTCAGTGCCGTATGCGGTGCCACAATCACCTGCAAACACTTGGAAGGTGGCAAGTGATAGGGAACAGCCAGCATGGATTTGTAAAGAACAAATCATGGCCAACCAATCGGATAGCTTTCTTTGATAGGATAAAGAGTCTTGTGGATAAGGGAGAAGCGGTGGATGTGGAGTACCTAGACTTTAGTAAAAACAAAATACAGGACTATGTAGCACTTTAAAGACTAATAAGATGGTTTATTAGGTGATGAGCTTTCGTGGGCCAGACCCACTTCCTCAGATCACATAGCGGAAGAAAATTGTCACAACATATATGTTCCTTTTTTTTTTTTTTAATTGTATCCTTTGGTATATAATGGCTGACAATTTTATTCCGCTATGTGATCTGAGGAAGTGGGTCTGGCCCACGAAAGCTCATCACCTAATAAACCATCTTATTAGTCTTTAAAGTGCTACATAGTCCTGTATTTTGTTTTTACTAAAGTCTAGGTACTCCACATCCACCGCTTCTCCCTTATCCACAAGACTCTTTATCCTATCAAAGAAAGCTATCCGATGGGTTGGCCATGATTTGTTCTTTACAAATCCATGCTGGCTGTTCCCTATCACTTGCCACCTTCCAAGTGTTTGCAGGTGATTGTGGCACCGCATACGGCACTGAACAGTCCTGAAGAAGAGACAGAAACTAGCTTCTGAGCACGGGTCCAGCAGCATGGCTCACAGCATGCTGCCTGTTGAAAATCCCAAGCCAACAACAGACCCACCCACGGTGACTGCCGGTGCCAGCAGGCCTGCAGGCAACCCTGGCTCTTCCCTGCAGGGCTATGTTGCTGACACAGCTGCTGCCCCAGATCCTGCTGTGCTGGAGAGAAGTTCTCCTGCGCTTGGGTGTGCGTGCAGCCAGGAGCGCAGCATTGAGAGTCGTGCACCGTGGGACCCTGCCTCCCTTCTCGGGCTGGGGGCGGGAGGTAGCCAGGGAAGTAGACTTGCTCAGGTCCCTAACTCACTTAAGTTTGCTCTGCCCAGTCCCAGGGTGGACGGGGACTGACGGGCTCAGTGCAGGCTGCCCCGGCAGAGCCTCTCCAAGGCCACTGCAGCTCCAGCGGGCACAGCCAGGGAAGGGGGCATGCCCCCAGCTGGGTCAGGGCCAGGTTCAGCTGCCCCCTGCTCCCCCCAGCCAGAGGGATGATGCAGCAAACTGGGCACTTCCCCGAGCTCCCTGGCAAAGGGCAACAATAATTCTCCCCGTATGAATTAGGGAAGGGCACCTAGGGGGTGGGGGCTTGGGGCTGGTGAGTCTGTCTCCGTGGCTTTGAGAGCGCATCCCACTGTCCCAGCTTGGCCAAACCCAGCCTTGCTCGAAGTTGAGATCTGAGGAAGCTGCCTCCCCCAGGGGCTGCCCCTCACTTGTCACGCTTGGGGGGGAGGGGGCTGTCACACGGACAGACGAACTCTCTCAAATACACAATACCCTGGCGTCAAAGCACCGACCCCATGGGCTTCCAGGGCTCCCATGCCCCCCACAAGGGGCTCCAGCCCTGCAGGGCTGGGACCGTGGCCCCACCCAGGCCCCGCCCCCACTCAGGCTCTTCCCCTGAGGCCACGCCCACCTCTCACCTGGGAGGGGCACAGAGAGAACATCAGAGCGGCCAGGCTGGGCCACACCGTTTGTCCATCCCAGTGTCCTGTCTGCCCTCAGTGCCAGGTGCCCCAGAGGGAGGGGATGCAACAGGGAATCCTCCCGGGACCCCTCCCCGGTCACCCACCTGCAGACACACGGCTAGGGCCCCATCCCTGCCCAGCCTGGCCCACAGCCAGGAGCTGCTCTAGCTCCAGCACCAAGTGACACAACCAAGCCCGCGCCCGGGCGGCCCTCTTGGAATGGCTGCCCAGCCCTGCTGCGGCCTGGCTGCTCTGTGGGCAGATTTGTCAAGCATGACCACATTGCTAAAACAGCTCATATCCGAGATTCTGGAGATCTGTAAATAATCTGACACACACCAATTACTATCCTGAAGTTTCCTTTGTTTTTATCATTTTATGTCTTTATACATCATGAACTCTTCAGGGCAAAGATTATTTTTTCCCCCTTTATGAAAGTGCTCAGCATCTTTTGGCAACTTCCACAAACTAAATAATATTTGACCTGAATTTTAGTATTGCTCTGTAAAACTTAAGGGAAGAGACACTATACCTAATTTCTTCAGGGACTGAACAGCTTACTTTACCAGTGTCCCAAATGTTTCTGAGAACCTCCTCAGTGAGGCTTCCCAAATCAGGCTATGAGGACTGGCCTCCTTCAACTGTAGTGTGACCCCCTCCACACCATATGTGCCAGTCAGAATCCCTTGCACTTTTAAGGCTTGTCACCTCGATCCCTCACCCTCTAAGGCAGTGTTTCTTAACCAGTGGTACAAGTACCCTACTTGAGGGAAGTCTGGGGGGGGGTATGTCAACACAACTGAAATTTGGAAAAAACTGAATTTTTGATTTAAGTTTTACAGCGCTTTATTATTTTTGTACTTTTTACACCCCAAAATGTCATCACCTGCCTGGCTACCATTAAGTTGTTTAAACAAATGAGTTGCAATGGGAGGAAAAAAAAATTCTGTCTAAAGACTGCAGGTACGGCGGGGGAGTGCTTATAATTTTTAAATGAGTACTTTATAAAAAAAAAAAAAGGCTGAGAAGAAAAGGCCCAGGAGCTGCACTTCCCTTCCCCGGGGCTGCAGTTGGCCCCTCTCTCTCCTCCCCAATGCTGCTGAGGGGGGTCAGAGGCAGGGAGCCCCTGTGCTGCTCATACCACTTCCCTGCCCTGCTGTCTAGGAGCGCCCCGCCCGAGGCCCAGAGCTGGGCTAACAGCCCCAGCAGAGCGATGCGAACGCTGGCCCAGCGCACTCTAGGAGGGCTCTGCACCCAGGAGCCGGTCTGGGCACAGCTGAGGGCATCCGCTCAGGGCGAATTGCTCAAACTAGGGGCTCCTTACAGCCCCCAGACTGGAGACCTCTCCAAACAGGCTACATACCAGTCCCACCGAGCGCTCAGCAGCCTGCCTGAAGCCTCGTGAGCAAAACCCCTCCGACACCCCAGCAATATCCGTGCCCCAGATGGCCCTGGGCCTCATACACCGGTGGGGGGTCCTAGCACCCAATCCCACCTCCCCCGAACGAGTTCTGTCCGGTCCCAAGAAACCAGCCACAGACCCCTGGTCAATTTACCCTCTGGACCTTACCCGCAAATCACGCTGGGCCAATCCTGTAGAATCTACAATCTAAAGGTTTATTACTACGCGAAAGTAAAGCCTGAGAGTGAGGTTGTTAAAGTATCGTACATTACATGCATCGAATCTCCCAGTTCTCGATGCAGGCTCTAGCAGAGATGTTACAGCTGCTGGCTTAAAAGTCCTTGTTGCGCATCCTAGGATCAGGATGGGTCCACAGTTCTTTCTGGCTCTTTGATCCCTGCATTGCTGCCTCTGGGATGAAGTTCTGAGCTGAGTGCTAAGATAGAGTTGACCACATGGACTCTTTATACATCCTTCCTGGTCTCTTCTTGGCTGCAGCAGGTCACCTGGCCAGCGGCCTATCCCCGTGTTCCCTGCTGGCAGCCCTCAGGTGTCAGCCCTCATTCTTTAGGTGTGTCCTTGGCCCATTGAGTGCCATTGTCCCACAGGGCCTCGCTAATTAGCATGTCCATAGGCCAGGCTCTGCCCAATGCTCAACCACATGCAGAGAAATATTCAGTATTCATACAAAGTACATGCTTATAATTTCACACACAGACATTATACAATCACATGAACAGCGTACATAGGATTAGCAGACAGTGAGCTTCTATTCAACACCTCACATGGC